TACATGGAGAGCCCCCCCCATCTTATTGGAGACACTGATAGACTGTACATGGAGAGCACTCCCCCCCCCCCGCCATCTTACTGGAGACATTTAGGGGTCAGTCGGACCAGGCACAGACTGACCCAAAGTTTCTTTTGGCCAGGGATCAGCCAGGAAGTACGCCAATATTGCAACACTTGCGATACGTGCCATAGGGTAGAGAAAAGGAGGGACCGGCGCAAGTCTAAGCTACACCCCCTTCCCATAATGGAGGAGCCATTTAGCAGGGTAGCGGTAGATTTAATAGGACCCCTCCAGAAAGCGAGCCCGTCAGGAAAGAAATATATCCTGACTGTGGTGGACTATGCCACTAGATATCCAGAGGCGGTGGCTCTGACTAATATTCACGCTGAAACAGTGGTTGAGGCCCTCATGCAGATCTTCTCCCGGATGGGGTTACCCAGGGAGATCATCTTGGATCAGGGTACTCAATTCACCGCAGAAGTCATTCAGCGCCTCTGGAAGTTCTGTGACATCAAGCCGATCATTAGTGCCCCCTAACACCCCCAGACTAATGGGCTCTGCGAACGATTCAACGGTACATTGAAACAAATGCTCCGATCCTTCGCAGAGACCCACAAGGACTGGGAACGATTCCTACCCCACCTCCTCTTTGCTTACCAAGAGGTGCCGCAGGAATCCACCGGGTTTTTCCAGTTTGAATTATTATTTGGAAGGAGGGTACGGGGGCCACTAGATTTGATTAGAGAACATTGGGAGGGAGAGCAGAGCACCGACGGCACCCCCATCATACCCTATGTGTTGGCATTCAGAGACCGCCTAGAAGCATTAACTAGGACGGTAAGAGAAAACTTACAGGCGGCTCAGACCCGCCAGCGCACATGGTATGATCGGGGCGCCAGGGACCGTAGCTTTCAGGTCGGACAGAAAGCGTTAATTTTAAAACTTGTCCATCATGATAAGCTACAGGCCGCCTGGCAGGGCCCTTATAGGGTGGTGGAACAGAGGTGTGACACCACTTATATAATAGGCTCTTGCGTTGGAACTGGAGGGCGCCGCATGCTCCATGTGAACATGATGAAGCCCTACCAGGAGTGACCGCAATATGTGCACCCAACTCGGATGAGTTCGACAGCTTGCCTCTCCCAGACCTGCTGGGAGATGGTCAGTTGTCTGGAGATTTAGGGGAAGTTGCACTGGGAGACCGGCTGAGCCCTCAGGAGCAGATCGAGGTACAACAACTGTTAAGAGAGAAGCAAGATACCTTCTCTAATGTACCTGGATACACTCCTCTGGCCACTTACTGGGTAGAGACCCCAGGACAACTTCCCATGCGCCAGACCCCGTACCGCATCCCAGAAGCGGTGCGGGAAAATATGCACAAGGAGATCAAAGAGATGCTCCAGCTGGGGGTGATTGAACCCTCAGACAGCCCCTGGGCCTCCCCGGTAGTACTAGTACCAAAGCGGGATGGTACGACCCGCTTTTGTGTAGCTGAACGAGAAGACCGTGTCTGACACCTATCCCATGCCCAGGATAGACGAACTGCTGGACAGGATGGCTAGGGGCCACTACCTCACCACTATTGACTTGTGTAAGGGGTATTGGCAAATCCCCTTGGCCCAGGAAGCCATCCCTAAGTCGGCCTTTGTCACCCCATTCGGCTTGTACCAATTTAAGGTCATGCCGTTTGGGATGAAAAACGCTCCGGCTACCTTTCAGTGGATGGTGGACCGCCTCCTAGATGGGTTCCAAGACTATACCTGTGCATACTTCGATGATATTGCCATATTTAGCAATACCTGGCAGGAACACTTGGCCCATATAGGAGCGGTCCTAGACAGGATTTGAGAAGCCGGTTTAACGCTGAAGCCAGCCAAATGCAGTATAGGGATGGCCGAGGTACAATACCTGGGCCATCGAGTAGGATGTGGGAAACAGAAGCCGTAGCCCAAAAGTAGAGGCCATAGCCCAATGGCCTACCCCTAGGACGAAGACTCAGGTGCTGGCCTTCTTAGGAATGGCCGGATACTATAGAAAATTCGTCCCAAACTATAGCGCCCTGGCCAAACCCCTTACTGACCTGACCCATAAGAACCTTCCCCGCCAAGTAACCTGGACCCCGGAGTGTGAGCAGGCATTCCAACTCCTGAAAAATGCATTGATCAATGCCCTGTCTTGGCAGCTCCCAATCCAACTAAACGTTTTCTTGTTCACACAGACGCTTCTATATTTGGATTGGGAGCAGTACTGAACCAAGTCGGGACCGATGGCGGAGAACATGCCGTGGCTTACATCAGTCGCAAGCTGTTACCCCGAGAAGTAAGCCACGCCGCCATCGAGAAGGAATGTCTGGCTGTGGTGTGGGCCCTGAAGAAATTGCAGGCGTATTTGTATGGACAGCCCTTTTCCTTGCTCACGGATCACAACCTGTTAGTATGGCTGAACCGGGTGGCTGGGGACAATGCCAGGCTGCTGCAGCCCTTTGACTTTAACATTCAGTACCGCCCGGGAAAACAGAATGGGAACGCTGACAGGTTGTCAAGACAAACCGACCTGGAAAAATGATCCGTGAACATACTTGGACATCCGCAAGCCGATCCGTGTTGGATCAGACTGTGTATGCCGGCTTGTGGGCAAAGGGGAGCAGTGTAGCGGATGGCACTGTGGCTATGAGAATCCTGCAATTTGTGTGTTAATTCTGTTTTGTAATTCCCTGTAACTAGCATTCGTATGTTTGTTCGGTAGTTTCCATATGTATTTCATACGAATGGAAACTACCGAACTAATAGACCTCCCCAGAGTGAAGTGTGTTCCCAATTAAGTGTCGAACATGTGTTAACCGCAGACTAATAGGTGGTTTATTGCTGAATCTGGATGGCCACCATTTGGCATACGAACACATGGCGGCGGCCATCTTACGCACGAAAGACTCAGTGGTGTTTGGTCGTCGAGTGTCTGGAACTCAAATCGGACACTCGATTACCCGAACACCGCTGACACCTCCAGAACTCCATAAGTCCCGAACCGGAAGACGAATCAGCCCCCCGTTCGGTGAGTTTGGAGTACTGAACAAGGGCATTCAGGCGGATTACAGTTTAATCATGGGGGGTACAAAGTATGGGTGTACCTGCTAATCTTGGGGTGCATCCAGAACTTGGGGAAAACTGTAACCTGTATAATGGGATTAGGTGTTATACTAAGGGGAGGAGAGGTGTGGGAGGTAACTGCTATTTCATTGGGTACTGTATTAATGAATGTGAATCCCTCCCTTGCATGGGAGAAATGCTTAAAAGGAGGCTGTGTGGAATAAACATGAGTGCTGCTCCTGATGCTGTGTGTCGTCCAGTCATTGGGATCTGTATGGGGATATTCGTGGATTGCTTTGCTTATTGGAATTATTGCTTCATGGGATTTTTCATCACTTGTTCCTGAGCCTCACTGGGATCTTAGTGGAGTTAACCTGTGAAATACAAGGCCTCCGCTACACTGATAGATTGTACATGGAGAACACCCCCTACCATCTTACTGAGACAATGATAGACTGTACATGGAGAGCCCCACCATCTTACTGGAGACAATGATAGACTGTACATAGAGAGCCCCCACCATCTTACTGGAGACAATGATAGACTGTACATGGAGAGCCCCCACCATCTTACTGGAGACACTGATAGACTGTACATGGAGAGCACCTCCCCCCACCATTCAAGAGTGATTGACTTGTTCTTAAATTGTTAACTAAATTACACACTGTTGCTCCCATCACGTCCAGTCGCACCACTACTAGCTTAGCTTTGCCTTTGAAAGACCGCTCAATGAGCTGTAATACAGGACAGCCACACTGATGCCCACCTCGTGCCCAAGGCTTCTCAATGAAAAGCCCCAACTGATCGTCTCCCAAAAAGACTGTGCCGTAGAAGGAGGGCTTGCAGGTGCTAGATCTGCTATAGCAATCCATGATTTCCTGAAGACACATTCCATGTGCGTTTTCTTTGGAGGGGTTCCTTCAAAATTCCCTCCTTGGCTCATTCTCAGCTCCCACTACATTCCTGGTGATTGTATTTTTATAAATCTGCATAAACCCCACGCTATTATTTTATCCTAAGTGGTGAGGTCCTGACAGATTCTGAATCTTCTTCATAGATCACACAATATTAATATTAATGGTCCATGAGCAATAAGGAAGTGGCCGTGCTTAAACAACATCACATTTATTTGGCTTGTTATAAAAGGAATGAGATCTGATGGCGCACATTTACAATAAATCTAGCTTACAGCTGTACATTAACGTACCATCGTTAAGAGCCTGCTTATTGCTGTACAAACCTGCCCTGGAAGAATCGTATAGACTTTTTATTTTACATTTCTTTGCATTAAAGAAAATTAACATATATATATATTTTTTTGTTTCTGAATGCTGTGGCAGTAACAGTTTACACTGCAAAATGACCATAAAAATAACAGCAAAAATTTAGAATATCCTATGATAAAATGGCACATATTAAATATAAATATATATTTATATATTTTACATATCAAGTGGAAAATAAAGTACCGTAGTGTTCTGAAAGTGTTAAACATGGATAATGTAAAATAGTTCAGGGCAACCCGTGATGATAAATGAAAGCAGACAACGTTCGTGATCAAGGGAAAAACCTCTCTGCAAATAAATTCAGATTTTGGCTCTAAAAATATCTTCATGTGCAAGAAAACAGTAGCAGCAAGCAGTCAAAAGACACAGCGTTCTCTGTGGTTTGTGATTACAGATTGCGTTAAAAAACTGTACAGAATCTTCTCTGATGTGACCACATCCTCAAATACTGGAAGAAAAGAAAGCATAAAAACGATCAACCATACAGAAAGAATAACATTCAGCAAGGAATTCCTAAGATGTTATAGAAACATTTACTAACCGCGCAGAGAGAGCAGACAACAGGAGAAACTAAACAATGTTTCTTTATTACCGCCATTTATATAGCACCAACGGATTCTGTAGCGCTTTACAATATTATTAGAGGGGGGATTTAACTATAAATAGGACAATTACAAGAAAAATTACAGAAACGATGGGTTGAAGAATAACTTACAGTCTCTCTTCATTTGCATTGTGTGTCCTGGCTGCGCCTTGTCTGAAGTGGATTATGACACTACACCTTCAATGTACATTTAACGCAAGTATCACATGATAAAAGGTTAAAGGAATATTCTAAAATTAAAAATAAATGCATATATATATTTTCTGTTAGAGTATGACCATTCACTCAGCAATGCTAAAAGTGAAGAGTTAATAATCGAAAAACTCCAATGAGATTATGCCTGGAGTGGCTTTTAGTGTGACTAGAACCAAGGTTAAATGTAAACACAATCCTTTCTTTTTGATTGTCACAATAATATGGACAGTGCATAGAGAATACAATCACTTTATTAAGATGAAGTGGTTTTGGTGCTTAGAGTGCCGTTTAACACATGTTACAGGTGATTTTCACAGTTTTTTTTTTATTGTGTAGAACAGACAGAGATAATTATAACATGATGGCAAGACACAAATAATGATTGTGCTATCAGTGAGAGATATGAGAGATAACTGCAAGAGACAACAATGTACAATGGTGCTAATCAGGGCCGGTCAGCCCCAGGTGACAAATGGCATGGAGTGCACAGAGCCCTCCTCCTCGCCATAGTGGGAACCTACCTAGTGGTGGTGGTGCACTGATGGTTTAGTAGAGCAGATTGTGCAGCGGGCAGTGATGGGGCTGTAAGAATCATTCTGTACATGAATTGCATTGTGTACCAATGCTGAAGTCAGGATGTAACATCACAGAGCTGTACAGACAGATCCCAGCAGCAAACCACCTTTATTCATAATTAGGGCCAGATTAAGAGACCATTGGGCCTTGTGCAGACAATTATGATGGGCCTAATTAGAGACTCTTATTGAAAGAAAACACTAAAACAGTTATACCTCCCAATCATCATGTATCTGGTGGAGGTGGTGCTGGATGCAAACTCACAGAAAACACATACTCTATGCTAATCTCTCACTTTCATCTTTCATGTAAATCCATACCCCCTAAAAGCAGTGTCCATCCAGTGAAGCAAGATTTCGGTGGGCAGGGTAAAAAAGTGGGACATGGATGTGAATAATATAATACCAGAACCGCCAGGATCAAACATGTCCAAAAAGGGGGCATGTCTGCATGAAGAATTAGATAGTCAGCCTGGCGTGAATGCAGGTCAGGCTGCATGCCAATTATGCAAGATTGGCAGCACCCTGAGCTTGGCATTAACGAGTCTAATAATGCACTAGCTCTATGATTTCTAAGGACTGTCCCCTAGCACTCGCTGGTCCACTCCTCTCCTAATCTTACCAGCAGACAGAGGCTCCTGTTATACAGTCTGGTACAGAGAAAAGGTGTATGTAGTGACTGTAGAATAAAGGGAACATGTCACTGTGTCAGAGAGTGAAGCAGCAAGAGCATTCGCATAGAGCACAAAGTCAACTTTACCTTAACTAATTTCATTGTCATCCAGTCCGCACACGTTTTGTTCCCCTACATCACGCTTAAGTTAAAATACTCAAGCAGGAGCATGTGAAGAGTAGTAAAAAATAAAATAAAAAAATCAATCCGCCTATTCTCTAGGCATGGGTCTGGAGCTGCAGCTCCATCAGCCCTGTTTGTAATGCTGGGGTGTCTAAAGCACAATGTAAACCTCCCTGCTGGCTCCCCCTATAAGTTAACTTATCACTAATTGAGATACGAGAGGGTCCTAGCGAGATGAAAAGCGCTCACTTAGCCATGAGAGTGCAACCCAAAGTCTTTATAACCATGCAGAATTCTCCTGATATCAGCACTTTTAGGGTTTGGTTCATTACTGTTGGGAATATTTACATTCAGTGTAGTTTGGAAGGTAAGAACAAAGCAAAGAATACTGAACATTCAATGTGGTCACCAATTACTCCGTTAGTGGCCATTCAAGCCGTATCTGATCGCATGCCGGACACTGGAAGATACTCACTTGCTAAAAATGGGAGGTGCCTTATACACACATGAAATGGGAGCCCTCTGTGAGCTGTGGCTGTGCCGGAGGAGCTGCTAACGTGGGAGGTTCCGGGAGAGACGTCAGGTTCCTAGCTGCAAACAAAAAACTTCTTGTCACAATGATACAGATTTCTATCATGCAGCATCTTGAATGAATACACCCCAAACCACCTTCTGAAACCCTGTATTTGGGATGGTGGAAGGGGTGGTTTTTAATTCAAGATTCATTTAATGTACTCTGGAGTTGGCGAGCTTTCAGCCATTGCTTTTTGTACTAATCAATATAAACCAAGGGTTAAGGATAATGCACACTGGGACTAGGGCTAAACTGGAAGCCACATTACGATCTTAAAGGATCACTAAAGGCACCAGGACCGTCCTGCAACATTATACAATGGTATAGTGTGAAAACTGCAAGTTTAAATCAGGAAGACAGCCACTAAGTGAGCTTCCTCCACTAGACCAAATAAAACTCGCTCCTGAAATGAAATGCTGCCGACAGCAGGGGGAGCGCAGCGTTTGGCCGCGCATGGCTAGTTCGAGCAGTGGATTGGAGGAGATTGTGGGCGATGGCAGTTTGGATACAGGCTGGAGTCTTGGCATTGGTAACAAGGTTGGCAAAGATTCTTTAACACAAAGCGAAACTTTTTTTAGGACTATAGGTTCCTTTTACTGAAGGCTTAATTAGGAAATATTTACTCATTTAGTGCTACCCACTAAAGTGAGAATTCAAAGTGAGTTTCGAATTTAAGGCCAAAGTAGCCGAGCAGAGTAGTTTTACCTTGGATTGTAAGACATGCCGTAAAACTACTCCGCTCAGCTACAACAAGCTGTGCAAATTGTGTTCAGAATGACATGTGCAATGCAGTGACTGGGCTTTTTTATCATTAAGATAACGTGCAAGTTTCGGTTGGTAGTAGAACATAATATAACATCGTCTGTATCTAAACAAATAGATTACCCAAAAACACCACAAATGAATGGGAATCTTAATTCACCCACACAGGCATACCATCTAGAGACACATGTCTTCGTAAAGTGTCCGTAGAGAACTCATATGAAAATAGGATGCCGGTGCGCTCCTGCTCCCCGTTGGCAGCGGCCATCTTGCTTTGGCTGTTATCAGGTTTGTGGTTTGTAACTTCGATACTTAAAAGGAAAAAAATAAAAGTTTTCAAATGGTAGCTAGAGGGTATCAGTCTCACTTCTATTACACCAAAAACTATCCTGTCTTGCATGCAAATTAGAATAATGGGGTTTCAGGCCAAGAACAATTCAAATTATTTACATAATACCAACATATTGCGCAGGTAAACAAGAGAAACATTTTGTTCTAACAAAACACATAATATACCGAAAGTGGATTTACAATCCCTCCCCTTCTAACCCTGTCAAGACTTTGTGTCTGTCCAATCACAGCCTTCCCAATGCAGCTCAATGCGAAGTCTTTGCAAAGCAGGTGAAGGGCTGCCTCTTGAGGTAGGTCCACTGAGCTAGCCAAACCAGGAAGTAACAGGACTGGGTGTCTGATTGACAGCCAGGGGGTGTAACAAAGTTAATTTATAAGAGTGACAATTTATATTTAAAACAGAAAAAAAAAAAACCACCACCAAACAAACTACATACTCTTCACACAAAGCACTTAAATAAGCTAAAGCGCTTTTGTGGTTTGTAGTGTCCCTTTAACTGGCAATAGCACTCATGGCTGTGACAGAACAGGAAGCGCTCTATTCGGTTATTTTGTGAAAGTACAAAAGACTAAATTCAGAACAACTTCCATTCAAGTGAATGATATATTTTATCTTTAATTAGCAGGAAAAGAAATGATGTCATACTCTCTCATATTTTTTTTTTTTTTTTAAAAGGTTAGAAACTGAATTTTAGCATGCAAATGCAAGTCGCTTCTGGGGTACCTGTTCCCTCCAAAAACCTGCACAGCATCTTCAGAATCTGTCTGTCCAAGTGAGTCCTCTGTTCTCTCCTCTTTGGCTTTAGGTTCAGGACACGTCTCTAGACCCACAGAGTCTTCTTTCTGCACCATTAACGTCTGTAGTAAAAACTAGATTTAATCACTATGTGGACAATGGAACTGCGAAGCGTTAAGGTTTTCTGTCTAAACAGCTCATAACATACACAAATGGAAAAAAAAACTAAGAAAACATTCATACCAATTGGAATCTATAAAAATGTATGTGATATATCAGACATTAGCCAGATAGAATACATCATGAAAGTAGAAAGGTGTATCCCCCTACCTCTTTACTGCACGCAGTGTTTGGTTCGCCAATGCTTGCAGCTTCCTTTAGTCTGATTATTTCCTGCGCAGGAGATTCCCGCATTTGCAGATTCTCCTCTCGCACAGCATTCTCGATATCTTGAATATTACTAAATACAGTTTCTTCTCTCTTGCGAGTCTGCAAAGACACATTACTGCAAAGTACTTTTCATACCGGGATACCACAGCATATAGTTCTGCAGTGGGTATGATACAAGGACCCTGTCTCTGCACGATTTGCTTTAGATATATTATTTCTACGTCAGTGTATGCACACAACACTATTCCCCTGTGGCGAACGGAACCTCGCCACAAGCTTTTGGAGGAGCCTGCTTGCCAACCACCTGCCAAAAGACTATGGGCCAGGTCAGGGACTGTAACCCATATTTTATTCCCCCTGGTTTGGCACTTTCCATTCGTGCGCATAGAACCGAAAGCCAACTCCCAGGCGGCCGTTCGCATGGACTAAAACCACGAATAGACTTCAGGGGGACTTCGCCACAAATGCCCTGGAACTATTTTTAGCATCAAGACTTCGGTCGGTCCCCCAGCAGCACTTAGCCACGATTCTATGGAATGAATTAGGCATGGGACCATGCGTGCGGTCGGTCAAAGCTGCGGCGGCAAGGGGGCTACGGTGCTTATGGTATCCGGTGCTGTGCTTATAGTACTCCAGGCTACTAGGAAGCAGCAATTGGCGGAGGCACCCGGACGGCGTGCCAGGGAGTCTGTTACATCCCCTATACCCTACATGGCTCAGAAAGCTGCGGATACTGGAACTCTGACAAACTAACCTGTCAGATCCCTATGATCAGGTCCTAGGTTACGGTGTAAGCAGGTCCCTTGCTCAGTATCCACGGCACACAGTGTATTATAACTGCAGCTATAAGGTTATGGTGTAAGGAGGTCCCCTGTCTCCTCGCACACAGTGTATTATAACTGCAGCTATAAGGTTATGGTGTAAGGAGGTCCCCTGTCTCCCCGCACAGTGTATTATAACTGCAGCTATAAGGTTATGGTGTAAGGAGGTCCTCTGTCTCCCCGCACACAGTGTATTATAACTGCAGCTATAAGGTTATGGTGTAAGGAGGTCCTCTGTCTCCCCGCACACAGTGTATTATAACTGCAGCTATAAGGTTATGGTGTAAGGAGGTCCCCTGTCTCCCCGCACACAGTGTATTATAACTGCAGCTGTAAGGTTATGGTGTAAGGAGGTCCTCTGTCTCCCCGCACACAGTGTATTATAACTGCAGCTATAAGGTTATGGTGTAAGGAGGTCCCCTGTTATCACTTCTAGCCTGGAATGTGCATATGAGGATGCAAAATCCATTTTTAATGCAACAGAAAATGATTGATAGCTATAATTTACTTGTAGCAGCCTTAACGAGTTCTCCCTGGAGAAGGCAGGGCTTGGCGACGGGGACTGTTCTGAGCTTCCCAAGAAGTTTAATCCCTTTTTCTTCTCTTTGAGGCACGCCTGTTGGTGCCGTTTCATTCGCTCTAGCTGTTCCTCCAGAGTCATTCTGGGTCTGCTGCTATCCGTAATACAAAGGTGTTCCACCGCACTCCGTGGTCGATCCTTACCAGTAAATAAAATACAGAAAAAAAAGCAACTTTACAAAAAGTCACATTATCCCACAGTACATCCCCCTATCCAATATATTGTACACTGCACACACTATAACCCTCCAATATATACAGCATACACACTATAACCCTGATAGAACATGTATACAACTTACACACTGTATCCCCGATATATCATGTACAGCATGGACACTATACCCCCAGAGTTTTTTCCTATGTGTTATGGATTGCTGCGACTCCATAGCACAGGGAAAGAACATAGTGATCTAAACCTGATTGACTGAATGGCACGAACGCATTGACCCGAATGAATCCCCAGTGTGGATAAATTTTTAGCACGGTATATTTATACCTCTATTTAATTGCAGTTTTTCCCAAATTGGTCAATTTGAGACAAATGGTGCGAATGAATAGTGCAATACTGTGCTATGAATCCACACTGTGGATTTAGTTGGCTCTATTTGCGAAAAACTGTGCGAATTAATATTGCAGTACTGTGCTATGTATCCACACAATGGATTCAGTTGGGTTAATTCATGAAAAACTGTGCGAATGAATACTGCAATACTTTGTGAATTAATCCACACTGTGGATTCATTCTTGTCAATTCATAAAAAACTGCAAATCCATAAAAACTCATACAGAGGTCAGAGCCGGGCGACATGACGTCTATCCACAATATATTGTGTGGGAAAGACTTATATTAAAAAAAATAAACAAAAACAAAAAAAAAAAGATATTTTTTCTTTTTACATTTAGGACAAATAGGATAATAGAAGTAGGGCAGGGTTCTATCAGGGTGATATTAGAACCACTGATTTAGCTGTTGATGTCCTGAGGCACCTATAACAGCCGCATTAAGCAGGATAGTGAATCTGAATACTGAGTAAGTATTCTTATCTTATACTCTTAAAAATTGACACATTTTTTATTATAACTAGCGCTCTGGAACTGAAAATGAAGAGGATGCACCACAAACTAGTAGATTTTGGCTTTACATCGACAAATGTCAATGGTGAAGAGAAACACCAGTGTGTAGTGCGCTTGAAGATTCTGGCTCCAGAGTGCATGATTCCAAGTAAGCTAAAATGCCATCTAGAAACCAAGCATTCAAACTTGGTTGGTAAATCTCGTGACTTCTTTACCAGAAAATTAAAAGAATTAAAAGGACAACAGGGCACATATTACCGGCAGTTGTCAAGTGCATATAGATTTGTGAAATGTAAAAAGCCCCATACCATTACAGAACAACTGATTCTACCGGCTGCTTAAGATTTGGTGAGCATTATGATCGGAGAATCTGCAGGGAAACTGCTTTCAAATGTGCCTTTATCTAACAACACTTCAGTTGTAGAATTCAGTACATGGCAGAGGATCTCAATGATCCATTAATTGAAAAACTGAAAGGAACTTTTGGGGTACTGGCTGTTCTGTTCGCCCCATCTAAAAGAGCCTAAATCACTGTCCGGGCTAGTGACTGCCCAAGGAGCTCTCTCTCCAGTGCTACCTAGGTGGAGATATCCACCGGAGAGAGAGAAATGCAAGCCCAGCAGAGAACCCCTGGAACTGTGAGCTTGCTTCACAGCCGCCTGGAATTCTGTGCCGCCATTTAAACTGGGTTTGCACACTTTCTCCGGATTGGCCGGCGAAACACATCCCTGCCCAGGAGGATGCGATTTGGTTTTGCATCTGTCTCCGGACTGGCTGCTTCTTGCTTGAAGCTTGAATTCACCAGACTAAACTGGAACGAATTACGGGGGATGCATAGAGCCTCGAGCCCAGACTTTATACAATGATTTCTCAGGCTTTGTACATCCGATAGCCCTGCTATTTGCGGGAATCCTAGTTGGGAGCCGGGGCTATCCAGGGATGTTGTACTGTTGGTATCTCCCAGAGTGGGAGATGGTTATCTGTAAACCATCTCCCTCCAGCCCAAGACTGAGGGACTTGTGCTGAATTGAATGGAGACCCCCTGCAGGGGTCTGTGTATAAATTAAGCATGTAACAATAAAACAGTCAGTGTTGTACTCCCAGAGCGGTGTTTCGTCCAGTTACTGGGGGGGAGAGGGAGGAAAGGAGGGTTAATTACTGTTCCAGCTCGTGGAGGATGCAGCAAGGTAAGTCCTGTGTGTCGCCCAGCCCCTGGAAGTGCATAGAGCTAGTCCCCTATCAGTTCCCCCAGCTAGGAAGCGGTCCCTGGCGGAGGTACCCAGCATGGGTACAAGGAGCTCTGCCACAACTGGTGGTAGAAGTGGGATGGCTACCTAGCGACTGGATGCCTGCATGCCTCCTGGAATTTGTGGAGCTGGAGCGAGCTTGCACACGTGCAGCGTCCCCATGTGAGGAGGAGTTCCAGCAGAGGCTGTGAGAAGCTCTGTCCCAGAATTATGGTCCTGCCTTAAATGCTTAGAGGAGCGTGACCTGGAATGGAAACAAACTCTGGAAGGAAGACATTGACATAGCGCAACACTTCAGGAGCAAGGAACTCCCGTCCACCGACAACAGGAACAACTAGAGCTGCGAATGCCGTTTCTAGGAGAACGGCCCTTACATTGCAGCCTGTCTCAAAAAAGGACGGAGCTTATGGACCTTACAACCTCGGTAGAGTTGAGTACCGTCACTCCTCCCCAGTGGCAGTGTGAGGTCCAGGGAACGGAGACAACCGGTCTCGTTCCCCAGCTGCAGTGTGTGAGTTATTGGGAATGGAGACAACTGGTCTCACTCCCCAGAAGTTAAGTGCAGTTCAGGAGGAGAAGATTTCAGTCATTCCTCCCCAGCAACAGTGTGAAGTCCAGGAAACGGAGACAACCCGTCTCGTTCCCCAACGGCAGTATGAGGGCCAGGGTACAGAGACAACCGGTTTCGACCCCCATCAGCTGGGTGAGATCCAGGAGGAGAACGCATCTGCCTCTCCTTCTCAGGGGCCAGCCACGACCCCAGCGATTCCTGGGAAGCAGAGCCACGACGGGCTCAGTCGACAACTGCCATCATCCTCAGACAGCCGGGAAAACTGCAGAGACACAGATGATGGAATGGGCGGGAGGGCACGCTTGTTTGGGTGGGGGGTTCTAAGGGCTTAGAGACCCTGTGTACCAGGGCCTGGACTGGGCGGCCTACCTGGCTAATGGCGGTTTATGTCTAAGACATCATGTAACTAGGAGGGTGCAAAGCCGGCAAGACTGTAGGGGCTGGCCGAGAACAAGTACTGTTGCGGGCATGGCACTCACTATGTGTCCACTCCAGACAGCAGCGAGCTGACCCGTGTAGGTCAGGCTGTGGCTGTTGGAGGTTAGCAAAGGGGAGATTTGTGACGGAACGCCATATCCACATGTGCCCACTGCTTATTCATGTGTTTCTCCTTGTTTTTTGTGTATTATGCTTTGTTTCCCATTCAGGAGTGTTCACACCAATCAATTGTTCGCACCTATAACATACATGTGAAACAGCAAGAGAAGTAATTAACGAGTGCTCCCCTGGGTGGCATTTAATATAGACTAACGCCAACCAAAGGGAGCATTTGTATCCCAAAAGAAGACTCTTCCCTTGCGGGGTCTTCGCACCGGAACTCCATGAACGGGTCCCTGAGGTTGGTGGGGACACTTTTAGGGTACTGGCTCTTCTGTTCGCCCCCTCTACTCCTAAAAGAGCCTAATCACTGTCCGAGCTAGTGACTACTCAAGCAGCGCTCTCTCTGGTGCTACCTATGTGGAGATATCCACCAGAGAGAGAGACGTGAGCCCAGCCGGGAATCCCTGGAACTGTGAGTCTGCTTCACAGCCGCCGAGTCCCACTGGTCGCCTGGAAGTCTGTGCCAGCCAATAGGAGAAGGGCAGCCATTTAAACTTGTTTTGCACCTTCTCATGATTGGCCGGCGCCCTGATTGGAGCGATTTGGTTTTGTGCCCTTTTCCAGATTGGCTGGTGGAACGCCTCCTCTCCCTGAGTGCTGATTTGGTGCGAGTGCGATTTGGTTTTGCGCTGGTCTCCAGATTGGCTGTTGCTTGGTTTAAGCGCAAAGTTTGAATTCACCAGACTAAACCAAGCAATTCTGTGGAATTAATTGCGGGGATGTACAGAGCCTCAAGCCCAGACTTTATACGATGATTTCTCGGGCGCTGTATATCCGATAGCCCCGCTATTTGCAGGAATTCTAGTTGGGACCCAAGGCTATCCAGGGATGTATATTTTACATATGTACCCCTTTAAGTTCTCCCCATGTATGTATTGTGTCCTATTGTCTGTAAATGTTGTGCTGTTGGTATCTCCCAGAGCGGGAGTTTGTTATCTGTACATCATCCCCCTCCAGCCCAAGACTGAGGTACCTGTGCTGAATTGAATGGAGACCACCTGCAGGGATCTGTGTATAAATTAAGCCTGTACCAATAAAGCAGTCAGTGTTGTACTCCCAGAGCTGTGTCTCATCAAGTTACAGGGGGGTGGCAGAGGAAGGGTTAATAACTGTTCAGGTTGGTGGAGGATGCAGCGGGGTAAGTCCTTGTAAGGACTAAGAAGCTCCAGGGCTGTGTGCCCCTGGGAGTGCATAGAGCTATTGTCCCCCATCGGTTCACCAGCTAGAAAGCGGTCCCTGGCGAAGGGTACCCAGCCGGGTTACAGAGAGCTCCGCCACAGTCATAATCCCAGTCTCTACCCATCAGCCTATAAGGCATTTTTTCCAGATTGAAAAGACGTGTCAACCCTTTCTAACACATCCCAGACGCTAGGAGGGCACGTCTTCTTCAAATTAAATGCTATGCTTATTTTTACTGCTAAAAGAATATGGATTATTACTATACTATGTGGTAAATCCGTCATATCAGGGAAATATGTGTAATAGATAGATTGTGCCCAATGTTGTGGAGATCAACTCTTTATTGCTTTCAGCATGATTCTAGGCATGGGCAAGACCAGAACACATACATCAAGAAATCCCTTTCCCAGAGACACCTCCAGCAAGTTGGCGATGAGTTTGCATAGATGTGCGATAGTTTGGTAGGTACTAGGTACGACCTCATAATCAGCTTACAGTAGGCCTCCCAGTGGTAAATACGACTGGAGGATCGCTTCATCCTTTTCATTGCTTTAAACCCAAGAGGTAAGGAAAAAGAACTGCCCAAATCCTTTGCCTATAGTTGCATATAGGGTAACTTTTCCTTAGCAGAAAGATCATTAAAGGCATTATAGCATACAGAGAGGGACTTGATCGAGAGAAGTTATCTGTGTTGGTACAGGTGTAGTTATGTAATGAGTTTGTAAAACATTTTTGATTCGCAAATATGTAAATAATTCTCTAGCAGGGAGCACAAAGGTGGAGCAGAGCATATGAACTCTAATGATTCCACAAGAAGTCCATTCGTGCAGATCCACATCAGGTGTAATTGCAGTTAAAGCTGTTAGAGAGAATATTTGTTTTCCCACGTAATTTTGGCCCCATGGTTTCCAACATCAGAACATAATTCTGGAATAAGGGAGCATGCCGTGCTTAGTTTGTGCAGGCACTGTCCTTGTCCACAATAACTTATCCAACTAATCTGAGAGTATGCTTGCTTCCTCCAATTTGGCCATGTCGGTTTAGTACATCATGGTTAGGAATCCCCAGACCGCCTCTAGAGAACCGGAACCACATGACACTGTTCGCTACCCTTGGTGCTTTTTTGTTCCAGACAAGAGCATTTATAAGGTGTTGAAAATGTTTTATCATTGTATAGGTATAGTGCAGAAAAGATACTGGATATGGGGCAAAATCATATTTTAATGGAGTGTACACGACCCAACCATGAAAACCCCAGGTCCCCCCCATTTGTTCATCTGACCTTCTAGTTTATGCAGAAGAGCTACATGATTTTCCTTAAGCAAGAGGGAGTGTGATTTAGTTAGATTTATGACCAAATAGGCAAGTGATACCGGACACAAGTCATAAGGATAGGCAAGTCTTCTGTATATTCTTATCAGAAATTTCTATGGAAAGCACTTGCGTTTTATTTATATTGTATTTATAGTATGAAATTGTTTAATATGAGTGTTTGTGCTGGGATTGATTTTTCAGGATTAGTCAAAAACAATAATACACTGTCCACGAAGAGCGCTTTTATTTGCTCTCTGCACAGGGCCTTTAGACAGCGGATATCTGTGTTATGTTTAATATGCATTTATAATGGTTCCAAACTAAGAATGAAAATAGTGGATGAGAGTGGGCAGCCTTGCCGTGTGCCGTTCGTAATTTCAAGATATTTTGATAAGAAACCTGTATTTAAAATCTTAGCCGAGGGCTTGTAGGGTAAAACCAAAATGCTGTTTATAAATGTAGGGGAACATCCCAATTTGAGTAGAGTGTTGCTCGGGTATGTCCAATTTAATCTGTCGAATGCTTTTTTTAACACAAGAAGCACCCCTTTTTGCTGAGTGGACTGAACCATGTTCATGAAATGCCTGGTATGGTCGCCTACTTGTCTGCTGGGTGCGAAACCCGCTTTTTCCTCTGGAACCAGGTCTAGTAGTAGAGGTTTAATGCACACGGCCAACAGCTTAGCATATAATTTAGTTTAGTTTTATAATTTAATTGAGGAGAGATATGGATCTTCAGTTATTGCATTCTGTTGGTGCCTTGTCTGGTTTATGGAGCTTCAAACATTTCTGGTGGTGTAGTGCCTGTGGAGTCAATGTGGTTAAAGAGGACCTATAGTAGTACATAGAGAACCCGTCAGGTCTGGGTGCTTAGTGCTTGGGCATAGTTCGGATAGCTATCCTAATCTCTTCTTCCGTAAACCGTTCGTCTAAGGACTGGCATTTGGCTAGTGTTATGTCTGGGGCATTTGTATGTCCCCCAAAAAATTTTCAATCTCTGCCAGGGATTGTTTGTGTAATCATTCCTTAAATTGTAGCGCTTGGACAGGGGGAATCATATGCACACACTTACTCTCAACAAGAAAGATAATTGAGGCAGGCATTTAAAGTATCTGTTGTGTAATGTTAACACATATCAAAAAGTTAAACTTTGTACCCCTCTTTCTAGAGGCCTACCAGAACGTCTGTTTCGGCACACCACAACCGACTTACACCTCCTTTACCATGACTGATTATTGGCCCAGATTATAAATGAAAAGGCGGAGCCTGTACTTGTAGGAGGGTTACGCGGCCTATAAAGACAGGTCACTCCTAAGCCGATAATGCCTGGTTTAGCCCACCTGCCACTCCCTTTATAAAGTAATTCATTTGGTGGGCCCTCTTTTTACAGGCCTATCTGAATGTCTATTCAGGCACACCATGTAGTGGACCACGGGTAACCCCCTCTGGTTACCTCCGCTAATTCCTTCCTTCAGCTACTCTGGAACCATTCACACAAGCAGTTCACACAATCCATTCCCCCAGTATCCAGATGAAACATAATTCTGGGAATCAACTGAGTTTATTCACAACACATATGGCTTTTATGCCTAGACCCCTACATTAGGTTTAGAATACAATAAAACAAGGGTTTCAATCCTAAAATCCTCTGTGCCTGATAGATAATTGCATGAGAAAAACCACTAATCCAATTATCTCTCAGGTACAGAAAATCCATACAAAATATACAGTACCCCAAAATGCCCTAACCACGTACAGGAACCTCACAAAAAGTACATTCCCTGAAAGCCCATTCCCGGTTTGGTGAAACTGGAATAACATCAAAGTTTTGACCTGCCAGACACGAGATGCTATCCCAAAATAGTGCCAGGAAAATGGGTGCTTTGGACGGTCTCTGTTTGTGGGGTTCCTGTGCGAACACCAAGCAAGGGAATCTCTTCATTTCAGGATCTGAATGCTGCCCCCTGTTCATATAACCCGAACGTCGTTAATATAGGTGGTCGGGAAATAGAACGGGCAGCGGTATAAGTTTAACCGGCGTTCGTGTGAGTGCTTAGGCGAAAAGAGTTCCAGGCACACGATGACCAAGTACTGCTGCTCACGTTTGGGAGACAAGATGGTCGCCATTCTTTTGTCTGCCACATGTGTTCAGTTCTACGAAATGGTGGCCACCAAGGGGAAGCATTCATTAATTACTTCCCTTGTGGTTTTGCACTTAATTTGCGGATGTGAACGTTCTAATGGGGTATAGGGGTGGTCCTTGTTCAGAAGATGAAAGGATTGTTCGTATGAAGTGCTACCGAATGGTAAAAGGGTAAAACAAATTAAACAAAGGGGAAAACACACAAATAGGTGTTAAGTTCTGCCAAACACCACAACTGTCTTACACCACTACCATAACTCTGCTTAATGCCCTGACTACAAATACACACACAGTGATATAATGCATACAGTGTGCAGACTAGGACTCCTGATATATACATAGCGGGTAGAGAAAGCAGGTGGGGGGGAGAAGACATAAAGGAGGTGGGATATAAGGAACACAGAGAAAATGGGGGATAAGATACAATAAAGGGAGAAAGAAAGGGGGGATAAGAAACACAAGAGGTGTTAAAACAATCACAGGTGACAAAGCAGCTTCTTCTTGTTGGGGGAGTGGGTCAGGGGAGGCGGCAAAATGCATCTTTACCTATGAAGAGAAAAATCCTTGCTTGGGCCCTGCATTGTTACTTTAGTAAACATTAATTTCCCTTTACAAAATAATGAACAGTAAAACACATACCGGTTTGGACTCCAGCTTCTTGTTCTTGCGCAAAGTAACATAGGATGCAATCGTTGTGGATTCAAGAGGGGGGGACTTCGTCCGTGGAGGTACAATGCCCACCGGAAAGTGGGAACCTAAAAATATTGGTCACTATTAAATAAAATGGCCAAGCCCTCCAAATATTGCCCCTCAATCATTCATAAACATTGCTAAAAATTAGCAGCCCCGCTCCCAATCTCTAAACATTCCTATAAATCAGCAGCCCCGGCCCACACTCTAAACATTGCTATAAATCAGCATCCCCGGCTCCCTCTCTAAACATTGCTATAAATCAGCATCCCCGGCTCCCTCTCTAAACATTGCTATCAATCCGCATCCCCGGCCCCCTCTCTAAACATTGCTATAAATTAACAGCCATGCCCTTTCTATAAACATTGCTATAACTCAGCAGCCTGGACCCCCCTCTAAACATTGCTATAAATCACCAGCCCCGCCACCCTCTCTAAACATTACTATAAATCAGCAGCCCTGTCCCCTCTATAAACACTGCTATAAAATCAGCAGGCTCGGTCTCCTGTCTAAACATTGCTATAAATCAGCAGCCTGGAGCCCCCCCTCTAAACATTGCTATATATCAGCAGATCAGCAGCCCCACCCTCTCTCTAAACATTGCTATAAATCACCAGAACAGCCCCCTCTCTAACACTGCTATAAGTCAGCAGCCCCATCCCCCTCTCTAAACATTGCTATAAATCAGCATCCCCGGCCCCCTCTATAAACATTGCAATAAATTAGCAGCTCTGCCCTTTCTATAAACATTGCTATAACTCAGCAGCCTGGACCCCTCTCTAAACATTGCTATAAATCTCAAGCCCCGCCACCCTCTCTAAACATTGCTATATATCAGCAGCCCCGCCCCCTCTCTAAACATGCTATAAATCAGCAGCCCCGGTCCCCTCTCTACACATTGCTATAAATCAGGAGCCCGGCCCCCCTCTCTAAACATTGCTATAAATCAGCAGCCCCGGCCCCCTCTCTAAACATTGCTATATATCAGCAGCCCCGCCACCCTCTCTAAACATTGCTATATATCAGCAGCCCCGCCCCCTCTCTAAACATTGCTATAAATCAGGAGCCCCGGTCCCCTCTCTACACATTGCTATAAATCAGGAGCCCAGCCCCCCTCTCTAAACATTGCTATAAATCAGCATCCCCGGCCCCCTCTCTAAACATTGCTATAAATCAGCATCCCCGGCCCCCTCTCTAAACATTGCTATAAATCAGCATCCCCGGCCCCCTCTCTAAAAACATTGCTATAAATCAGCATCCCCGGCCATCCTCTCTAAACATTGCTATAAATCAGCAGCCCCGCCATCCTCTCTAAACATTGCTATAAATCATCCCCCTCTCTAAACATTGCTATAAATCCTCTCTAAATCAGCCTCTAAACCATTCATCCCCTCTCTAAACATTTACATCCCTCTCTAAATATTGCTATAAATCAGCCCCCTCTAAACATTGCTATAAATGAGCAGCCCCGCCCCCTCTCTCTAAACATTGCTATAAATCACCAGCCCCGCCCCCTCTCTAAACATTGCTATAATCAGGAGCCCGGCCCCCCTCTCTAAACATTGCTATAAATCAGCAGCCCCGCCCCCCTCTCTAAACATTGCTATAAATCACCAGCCCCTTCTCTAAACATTGCTATAAATCACCAGCCCCGCCCCCTCTCTAAACATTGCTATAAATCACCAGCCCCGCCCCCTCTCTAAACATTGCTATAAATCACCAGCCCAACCCTCTCTCTAAACATTGCTATAAATCAGCATCCCCGGCCCCCTCTATAAACATTGCTATAAATCAGCATCCCCGGCCCCCTCTATAAACATTGCTATAAATTAGCAGCCCTGCCCTTTCTATAAACATTGCTATAACTCAGCAGCCTGGACCCCCCTCTAAACATTGCTATAAATCACCAGCCCCGCCACCCTCTCTAAACATTGCTATATATCAGGAGCCCGGCCCCCCTCTCTAAACATTGCTATAAATCAGCAGCCCCGTCCCCTCAATAAACACTGCTATAAAATCAGCAGGCTCGGTCCCCTGTCTAAACATTGCTATAATTCAGCAGCCTGGAGCCCCCCCTCTAAACATTGCTATAGATCAGCAGATCAGCAGCCCCACCCTCTCTCTAAACATTGCTATAAATCACCAGAACAGCCCCCTCTCTAACACTGCTATAAATCAGCAGCCCCGGTCCCCTCTCTACACATTGCTATAAATCAGCAGCCCCGCCATCCTCTCTAAACATTGCTATAAATCATCCCCCTCTCTAAACATTGCTATAAATCAGCCCCCTCTAAACATTGCTATAAATCAGCATCCCCGGCCCCCTCTCTAAACATTGCTATAAATCAGCATCCCCGGCCCCCTCTCTAAACATTGCTATAAATCATCCCCCTCTAAACATTGCTATAAATCAGCAGCCCCGCCCCCCTCTCTAAATATTGCTATAAATCAGGAGCCGGGACCCCCTCTCTCTAAACATTGCTATAAATCTCCAGCCCCGCCCCCTCTCTAAACATTGCTATAAATCAGGGCCCCCCCCTCTCTAAACATTGCTATAAATCAGCCCGCCCCCCTCTCTAAACATTGCTATAAATCAGCAGCCCCGCCCCCTCTCTAAACATTGCTATCACCAGCCCCGCCCCCTCTCTAAACATTGCTATAAATCACCAGCCCAACCCTCTCTCTAAACATTGCTATAAATCAGCAGCCCCACCCCCTCTCTATACATTGCTATAAATCACCAGCTCTACCCTCTCTCTAAACATTGCTATAAATCACCAGACCCACTCTCTAAACATTGCTATAAATCAGAGATAGCCCTCTACCTTCCTTAAACATTGATATAAATCAGAGGTGGGCGCCCCTTCTTGCCCCTAGACATTTCTATAAAACAGACACGGCACCAGACCCACTCTCTAAATATAGCTATTAAACAGAGAAAGTCCAGCACCCTACCTTATGTAATTTTCTAGGTAAAATAAACCACCTATAAAATGATAATATTGTTTAGAAATAGAAAAATGATTTGGAAGCTAACCTTTGGCTCCAGAAGTTTCTATATCCAGAGAGTTGTCAATGCGATCATCGCCATTTGACTCGTCCACTTCAGCCACAGTAGAAAGTTCTGGCTCACTTTTATACAACCGGTAATCAGGCCCCTCAAAAAGGAAAGAACATTTATAAACAAAGTACGAGTGAATCACGGTGTTATGACAACGGAGCTCACATTAAAGCCCAATAAATACAAGTGATGAAATGTGAACAGAGAAAGCCATGGCAAATAATCCATTCCACATCCTGTCTAAAGCTGTGCCAATCTGTCCAAACCATCCAATCCGCTTCCCATCCATGATCCTCCGTCAACCCACGCAATCCGCTTCCTATCCGAGCCTCGGCCAGCCCATCTCAATCTAACCCTCGGCCACCCCACCCAATGTGCTTTCCATCTCAGCCTCTGTTCTGCCCAGAGTATCCATCCAAACAGCTTTGCAAAATGTACATTTTTATGAATTTCTATGTTAAGCATGTTCCTTTGGTTTAATTGGTAAGATTTTAATTTAAAGGCTGCAAAATCTATGAATAGCATACACCTTCCCCGCCCCCAGCCACAGACCCCAAAGAGTGAGTATTGTGAGGGAGCATGTTTGTGGATTTATTCATGCGAGAGAGTGTCTTATGTAACAATGGAGATCAGAAAACACGGCTAATTGCTAATGTCCGCTCACTCTAGAAGCTCTGCATTATACACTTATTGGATGATTCAATAGTACATCTTCACTCTATTAATAATGACAAGCAACAATACAAATAACCAAAGACAAATACTAATAAAAACTACAAATAAAGCACTAAGACTAACGCCAAGGGTGACAATGAGATGGCGATGGACAGGGTTACAAGCAGTTTGCGGCACTTCAGCCCCTTACACTATAGGATCCATTTCTGTGATAGACTTGGACATGGTGAGGTGTCTTCTCCTCAGGAACGTGCCCGGGGCCCCTGCTATGACACAGCAAGAAGGAGCTGCCGTCACTGGGCAAGGGGGGAACTGAGGGAGGCTGCTCTGAAAAGTCATAGGAGCGAGGCAGTGGAGGACGCGGCGGGGCTATTTCCTTCTCCTGGAGGTTGTAGAACAGGGACCGTATTCACATAAAGCGTACAAACTGTGCGCTCTCCGCGTCCCCTTAGCAAATAGGCATGCGCTACGCATGGATCTCATTAAACAAGATTATGCAGAGCTTCTGTGCAGGGCCTTTAGTGCAATACATGAATCCTTCTAAATGTTTCTTACCTCATGAGGACTCTTTCCTGAAGAAGACATTGCTGAATCACTGTTACCTGTCAGATATTAAACAGAGAGGAACACATTCAGTTTCTGGCTCATGGAAATAGAGAGGTATGTCAGTCCAACCGGACATACAAATTGTAATATACACTTATCGACCTGTACCAGCAATCCAAATGGGGCCATTGAACAGCCTTGACACACATACTCACGAAGCACAGGGGGCTGGGGCACCTTTCTGGATGGAAATATATACTTAGTTGCCGCACAATGAGAGGGGGATTTGAAACATGAGGCATGTAAAAAATATGGCTTCTTGTAGTGAAATGTAAATTTTTTTTCTGTTTTAAAGCGAACCTGTCATGGCAGATTAAATGCTGACTAACAGTTCCTAAAGCACCATAACTTGATATCGTGTTACTTATTGCTTTAGGAGACGTTATATACTTATTTACCCCCTTCTCAGCGTGCCACAACTTCTATTCTTTGAGAGTCTGTGGGTGCTAAAATAGTCCATCAATCATCTTCCGGTCCACGTTCCTCCGCACAGCAATTGCCCTGCTTGTGGACACTTATTAAAACACAACAATCCTTTCTGATGAAGCCAACATGCTGGCTTCGTTCCCACAGCATTGGTGTCAAAATTAAGTGACATCGGCCAGTCTATTCATAAATTTTTCCAGCACAGTACGAGACACTTATTGGGAGCATGGGACAGTGAAGGAGAAATGCTTGGGGAAGGGTTCTCCTACTCGCTCACAAAAATATCTTAAAACATAAGCAATTTTGCGATCATAATGTACAGATGATTTTTATGCCCTTTTCTGAATGTAAGGTGCTTCCCCGCAGCGTGCAGTATACATATAAGCTGCAGTATTTTCATCACCAACATCTTTAATTTCTTTCTGTGGCATTTGTATTATACATGCTGCAGGAAATGCAATTTCTACAGGTATCTAGTAAAGTGGAGTATCCAGCAGTTCCAGTAAGGGGCACACGTTACCTGCTTCAATGTCTCTCCTCTGCTGCTTGTGTTTACTAAGACCCTCCATGACATCCTGAATCCTCCAGATCTCTTTCTGCATTTGTGCACGCTGTATGCCGGCTGATTCTGTCTGCAAAATTATTCAAAGCAGGTGTCTTAAAGGGAACAGAAGCTTCTCTGAAACTCATACAATTAGATAAACCATGCAGATCACTTAAGAGTCCTTGACAATACACTGAGGATCATATTATGCATCTCTCTTTACTCCCAAAAGCAGCAAAACATAGTATAACAGCACCGTCCGTCCGTCCATAGTATAGCACCGTGGTGGAGTCATAATTATAACAGCACCTGCGTCCACTCGTCCATAGTATACTTGGCACCGTCGTCCGTCCATGGTATAACAGCACCGTCCGTCAGGTCCATAGGTATAGCAAGCACCGTCCGTCCGTCCATGGTATAACAGCACCGTCAATCCATGGTATAACAGCACCGTCCGTCCGTCCATGAGTATAGCAATAGCGTCCGTCCATGCGTCCATGGTATAACAGCTGCGTCCGTCCGTGGGTAGGTATAACAGCACCGTCCGTCCGTCCGTCCATGGTATAACAGCACCGTCCGTCCGTCCGTCCATAGTATAACAACAGCACCGTCCGTCCGGTGATGAGTATAACAGCACCGTCCGATCCGTCGATAATTTATAACAGCACGATCCAGATCCGTCGATAGTATAACAGCACCGTCCGTCCGTCGATAGTATAACAGCACCGTCCGTCCGTCCGTCCATAGTATAACAGCACCGTCCGTCCGTCCGTCCATAGTATAACAGCACCGTCCGTCCGTCCGTCCATCCATAGTATAACAGCACCGTCCGTCCGTCCATCCATAGTATAACAGCACCGTCCGTCCATCCATAGTATAACAGCACCGTCCGTCCATCCATAGTATAACAGCACCGTCCGTCCATCCATAGTATAACAGCACCGTCCGTCCGTCCGTCCATCCATAGTATAACAGCACCGTCCGTCCGTCCGTCCATAGTATAACAGCACCGTCCGTCCG